TTTTAAGGTACGGAGTAGGACGGACTGCAATTCAATCTTATAGTTTGCTTGCTTAAGTGTTGACGCTGCAAATATTGACCACTCCAAACTTTTTCAGAGAAATATGCTGTATATAGAAATATGCTGTATATTTCCCATCGTATTGCACCTTGCTATGCGGTAGCATTTTCCCAGTATCTTTTGGTTTCCGTACAATTCCAGTCCCCTACGTAATAACGAAAATCCATAGCCATGAACGTTTTCCAGACGTATTAAACAAACAAAAACGGTATGATACCGCAACAACGCGTCCGGCCGCATTTACAAAAAATTCCCTGGGGGGCTCCCGAAAGCGGGCCAGGCAGAATAGGTAAAATAGGAAAACATATAGGCAGAATAGGTAAATAGGAAAACTCCCACCTTCCGGCCGCGCGCGCGCCTGGATTGTTCCCAGGCACCGCACGCAGCCGTCGGCATGGAGGCATGACAGAACCGCGCCCCGGCGGACCTGACTGCTGCAGACTGCAGGCATGTCTGACATTTCTGCGGGGTAAGGGAACAGCACATCAGCATTCATAGCCTAGCATGTTTGAAATTCTTAATTTGCTGCGTTGAAATGAAACAAGTGCAGAATTTCACATCATCACCATTTATGTGCGACTTATCACGATAAGCGTATGATATTATTCACGTGCAGCTGAAAAAGTCAGTATCCCAGCGCTGCAAGCACACCTCAAACATTACATTACACACTAACAGTTTTATGTTTGTCAGCAACGACTCGGTGCTCTTATGCACCCCTATTGGTTTGTTATGTCAAAACTTGAGTCGGCGCTTTACAAGCGAAATTGCTTTGGATTAGTGTTATCATTTAGTCAGTGGTTCGTGTTCAAACGAACCTTGCTTTTTTGGGTTAAAATAGGGATCATTTGGAACATTTCAATTTCATCGAAGCAAGCAATTTATGCGCGTCATCGAAAGCCAATATAACACAATTTCGCACCATGCGGATTTGACAAGTAAACTATGAGTCCTCTACGACAGACAACTTCGCTTAAACTTACCGGTCTGGGCTGGTTCCACACACCATCGTGGCCCTCGGCGGGGGCGGGGGCAACGTAGCCCCTAGCTGGGGCGGCCCCGGCGGCTCCGGGGGCTCTAGTGACTGGGGCGGCTGCGGCGGCTCCGGCGGCTCGGGCAGCTCCGTGGTCACCCGCTGCCCAGGCGGCTTTGGGCGGTCCGGTGGTTCCGTGGACTCCGGCGGCTTGGGCGGCTTCGGCGGTTCTAGACGGTCCGTCGGCTCCGGCGGCTCGGTGGCCTCCGGCGGAGTAGCAGTAATGGTGTTGACTATATGCGCAGCCGACCCAGCCCAGGATGCTGTTGCCTGCCAATAAGGGCGATGGCTCACATCCTGACGGCCGCCCCAGAATCTATATTGGACATTCTGCACTTTGGACAATGTGCACCTTGGATGTTTCGTACTTTAGACGTTTTGTACCTTGGACATTGTGTGCTTTGGGCGTTCCGTACCTTGGATATTGCGTACTTTGGACATTCGGTACGTTGGACAATATGAGACTTAAACATTCTGCACATTGGACATTGTGTGTTTTAGACATTATGAACACCTCCACTCTGAGCCATTTTGGAGGTTATTTCTCATTTTGGACATTTCGTACCTTGGGCATTATGAAATGTGGACATTCTGTACCTTGGACATTGTGTACGTTTAGACATTCTGTACCTTGGACAGTATGGTAGAGACCCATTAGTAGAATATTTTACTTCATGTATGATCTATGCTGATCCATGCAACATTGTGTGGCCTATCGTTACATCTAACACTGGATGTGGATTTTACCCGGCAACGATTGTAAATCTTAGTTTCGTAATCTTTGACATGTTGTTGTTGCGAGTACCTGGCACCACTCTAACAAGCCCACCTACACTTCCGCCTCCATCAAAGCCTGCTCTTTGTCGAGCCCACAAGCTCTGCCCTACGTCGCCTACCCCATCGGCAACGCAATTCTGCTCTCGCAGGATGGGCACATCCACTCTGGTGGTGCGAGATACGTGCCTGCTTGGGTGCATACAAATTACATTGAAAAAAAGGTAAGCGTGAGTAAGTATCTCCCGCAAAAGGAGTTTTGTGCGGTCCCGAGCCGGCACCTGAATGTGGCCAGTCGCGCTCCGGTATCTATGCCCCGCATATGATGAAGTGGTCTGAATTGAATTAATTGTGCGTGTAGTGCAGTTCTCACAGGTGTGAAAGGCAGCCATTTTAAGGCGCGGTGTCGTTTTGTCCCCAGCCTACCCGGCATTGTCCTTTATACGAAGACATGACACGCACTGTTTCCCTCTGCTGGATATAAGGCCTGCACGTAGAGGCAATGGACTAAAAGGTGTTTTCGACATTGCATGGGGTTTTTGACTGATATGAGCATTTTGAAGACCTTCCGGTGATGTTGACAACTTTGCCCATCCTTAGACCTAAGCACCACCAGTTTCTGAGCTAAACGGCGTCGAAAATGGTGAGCGCATTTCGTCATAACAGCGTCATTAAATCCTGCAATATGGTAAACCATGCGGCGGTTAAGGCAAAAAAAAATGGTGTCGGGGTGTTCATGTCTGGCGTTTGTCAGCGCGATTTCCAGCTATAACGGCCGGCAACTGGCTCTCAATCAATACTGTGCGTGGTACGATGACGTAATCAATTCATGACTCATTGAGGAGCGTATCTATTAACAGAAAACTGTGCTGTCTGGAGCTTCTTTTCCACTCCAAAAGTGTGCCAACAGCTATAAGTGAGGTATTTTCGTCACAGCTGATGTTTACTTCCATATTTTCAGGGGCAAGATATTCCCTTTAAGGCCTCTTATACCATGATCTATCCCTGCGCTGGGCAAACAGGTGGCGAGGGTAACATAACTTACCGCATTGTCGACGGTGTTGTGCGTTCTGCAGCGGCAGCTGCGGCTATAAGACGCACGCAAACCAGGTGGCGTTGTGGGGCAGAACGCGTGCGTTCCCGTTCATGCCGATAATTTTGCTGCGGGATTAAGAGCAAAGTCAAACTACACCAAAGATGCATCGGCCGGGAATCGAACCCGGGCCGCCCGCGTGGCAGGCGAGCATTCTACCACTGAACCACCGATGCCTGCGTAGTGCGGGTTTAGGTCACGGAACGTGCCGGGGGGGGGGGGGGGGGAGGGGGAGGAGGGGGTCGTCATTGAAGGGTAG